GAGTCACTAAGCTGGGGCTGTGGACCCCAAATGGGGAGTTTCACTCCTGTGACCCAAAGGCAGTAAGAAACAGAAATGGGCTAGACTATAGGTGCCAGGACCTCAGGGCACCACCTTCTGCTTCCCCCAGAGAGCCAGACTTCTGTAACTAAGGTGTACAAAGGCTCACTGGAATATTGGCCAGGGAAGTAGTTGACTTGCAGAATTGACAGGCAAGGGCTTGGGTTCCCTTCTGATGAGTCCCCAGGCCCCATGCCCAGCTCTCTCTCTACCTTTGCCCCGGAGGGCTTCCTGAAGCTGAGATGGATCCATCTGTATTATTCACCCCTCCCTTGCCCCTACCAGGGGTTGGACTCCTGGGGTTGGAGTCTAGACAGACAAGAGCATCCTACTGAGACCAGAGGCAGCCCTGACAAGGGGTTGCAGGTTCCCATGGCAACAGCATCCCCCTCAGCTGGCAGCTACCAGATAAATAAATAATCAGAGTTTGGGGGTGAGGCACAAAGGGCCAGGGGAGGGGCAGCCAGGGAGCCCAAGGCTTCAGTCTACAGAGAGGGCTGGGTCAGACTTAGAGCAGGCTGGGAGAGGAAGATTGGAAATGCCAGGTGAGAGAAAAGATGGTTGGAGGAAAGTGGTTTAATTGGAGAGTCATACCATCAGACAGGGCCTTGGTGACCCCTAGGGAATGAGGGAGTAGAAAGGGGACTTGACATAAAATTGTGGTTTTTGGCTCATGTATCTGGACACTTGGGGGGAGTAGAACACCAGAAATGGACCAGGTCAGGCAGGTTACATTTACAATGAATGCTGGACATAGTGCTGTGGGGCCAGCACTCTGGAGGGAGGCAGGAGGACTGAATTCTAGGCCATCCTGGGCTTCATAGCTAGACCCTGTGTCTAGCTCAATGGGAAGAGAAAACGACTCCCAAAAGTTGTCATCTGATCTCCACCATGTACACATGGTGGCACATAAATGCCTAGTTCACAATAATGTACGCACATACTGCACAGTAACAATAACAAATAAAGTCAATTTTTTTTTTTGGTCTTTTTGAGACAGGATCTCCCTGTCAGTATGTAGACCCGGCTGGCCCTGAACTCACAGAGATCTGCCTGCCTCTGCCTGCCGAGTGCTGGAATTAAAGGCGTGTGCCACCACGCCCAGCTCATAAAGTCAAATTTTTTAAAACTGTGGTGGTGCATACCTTTGATCCTAGCACTAGGGAGGCAGAGGAGATTGCTGCAAGTTCAAGGTCAGCCTGGGCTACTCACCATGTAGGTATTCCACTCACTTTGTAGCCAAGGATGACCCTGAACAAGAATTATTATGTATATGAACATGCTCACTTGTGATACAATGTGCTTGTGGAGGCCAGAGAACAACTGAATCACTTCTGTCTTTCCACCCCATGGGTTCCGGAGATCAAACTCAATTTGTCAAACCTGGCAGCAAGCCCTCTTACCCACTGAAATTTCTTGCCAACCCCCCATTATAATTTTTTTAAAGTTGTCTTTTAGCCAGGCATGGTGGCACACGCCTTTAATCCCAGCACTCGGGAGGCAGAGGCAGGCAGCTCTCTGTGAGTTCGAGGCCAGCCTGGTCTACATAGTTCCAGGCCAACTGGGGTTACAGGGAAACCCTGCCTCAAAAAGACCAAAAAAAAAAAAATCTTTTATTTGTACATTTTGAGACAGTCTCACTGTTATGTAACTTGGAATCCTCCTGTCTCAGCCTCCTGAGTCCTGGAATCATAGGTATACACTATGGCATCTAGCTAAAGAGCCATCTTTACATCTTTCTCACTCCAGTGTGGGTCATGTGACTGATTATATTTCCCATCCACCTCTTCTACACTATTTCCTAAAAGTGGAGGCCACAGAACTTGCACAGGTGATGTAGACTAACTGCTCTGAGAATGTAGAGGAGCCAGTGGATGAGGACACGCTGGAGTTCAGGTGGATGGAGGATGGTCATAGCTGAAAGCCAAAGTGGCTTTTGATGTGAGGTTGCAAGGAGGATGGGTGATGGCTCTGCTGAGCAGGAACATCCAACATCCAGGGTTAAGGGTGGGACAGCTAGGGTTCCTTCCCACCCACAGAGGGTGACAGCTGAGCTACCCTTCCGTAGCTCAGGACCTGGGGAAAGGAAAGCGAGTTAAGGCAGAACTTCAGCTCTTGTTTCAGTTGCTAGGAGACAGTGCTGACCAGCAATGAAGGATTCAGCCAGATCCTTTTAGACCTTTAGTACCAAACTAAGAAGCTTAGACTATTAGGTCTTCTACGAATTAGTCACCCCTCATCATCTTCTAGTTTATGTGATGTCTGTATCCTGTACCCCATGGCTTTTCAGGGGAGTGATTATCTTCTGTTTATAGCTGAAGATATATGTTCAGAGAGGGAGAGGGACTTGCCTTAAGGCACACAACAGAGCTGGAGTTTGTACGTGAGTTCATCCTGACTCCAAAGCTGCTAGTGAGGGCTTGTTTTCCCACAGTGCTTGCTTGTCAGTGAGGTCACAGGAACAGGCCTGTGGAGTGGGAGTCAGTGTGGGCATGGGACCACTGCATCCAAGACCAGATGTCTCCCAGGTACATTGTGAGATCAGGCAACTCTGTACAACCTGAGGTAGGCACCTTCTCCCTGGGACCAGAACCAGCTGAGTGAGTGACATGGACAAGGCCAGGCAGAGTCCGGGAGGGGTAAAGGAATGGGGGTGGGGGGCTGGTGAGATGGCTCAGCAGGCAAAGGTGCCTGACACTAAGCCCGATGACCTGAAAAATTGGAAGTGGGGAAAGAGTTGAGGAGGAAGACCAGTAGAAAGCAGGGCACAGGGCACAGGGCCCTGGGCAAGCCTGGAGACTTCCTTTCCCAGGATTGACTAACTATTGAAGTCAAGGCTGGATTGTATAGTCCAGTGACCGTTGTGTACAGGCAAGGAACCCCGGGACCCAGCAGGGCAGGTGTCCTACCCAAACTCCCCCAGCAGTCAGAGGCACATTCGTCACTGTCCACCTGTGCTTCCTGACCCCTGAGCCAATATGTACTGGGAAACTTGGTGCCTAATTGGGACAGGTGGCAGAGAAAGGTCTAGTCTGATACCTGCCTGCTGTGTGACCTTGGACAAGTCATTTTTCCTCTCTGAGCTTTGATGTTCTGTTTCCTCAAAGTGACATGATCCCAGGCCCACCTTTCTGCCAATCTACAGAGTCCTTCCAAGGGTATTATCAACAGGAGGCAGATGGGAAGGTGCCAGGGTTGGTCTTGGTACTGCCAGGCTCCCCTCGTTGTCTTGCCTGAGCCCACAGTTTCTTTGGTTATTGCCCAAGCTGTACCATTTGTGTGGTAGCATCAGCCTATGTTGTGTTTCCTTGCCAGGAAGAGGCCCTGGGGTCTTGACCCAGATCCTCCCATCTCTACTCCTAGGCAGACCCTCTCCTCTTGCACATGGTAGACAAGTGTTCTTACCACTGAGCTATATTTCCAGTCCCCTAACTTAAAAAAATTTAAGCTGGGCCTGGTGGTGCACAGCTTTAATCCGAACATTCAGGAGGCAGAAGTAGGTGGGGCAGGTGAATCTCTGTGAGTTCAAGGGAAGCCTGATCTACATAGCAAGTGCCAGGCCAGCCAGGGCTATATAGTGAGACTCTGTCTCAGAAAACTGAAAAAGAAAAAGGGGAGGGGGTACTTGGAGAGATGACTCAGTGGTTAGAAGCACTGGCTGCTCTTGAAGAGGACCTGCGTTTGGTTCCCAGCACCTACATGGCAGCTAACAGTCTGTAACTCCCATTCCGGGGGATCCAGTGCTATCTCCTGACCTCTCTGGGCATTGTACGCATTTGGTGCACTTACATGCAGGCAAAACACTCATAAAAGGGGAGGGGGTACTTGGAGAGATGACTCGGTGGTCAGAAGCACTGGCTGCTCTTGAAGAGGACCTGCGTTTGGTTCCCAGCACCTACATGGCAGCTAACAGTCTGTAACTCCCATTCCGGGGGATCCAGTGCTATCTCCTGACCTCTCTGGGCATTGTACGCATTTGGTGCACTTACATGCAGGCAAAACACTCATACACATAAAAAATAAATATGAATTTAATTTGTACAAATAATTTTTTTTTTTGGTCTTTTTGAGACAGGGTTTCCCTGTAGCCCCAGCTGTCCTGGAACTCACTATGTAGACCAGGCTGGCCTTGATCTCACAGAGATCTACCTGCTTTTGCTTCTTGAGTGCTGGGCTAAAGGCATGCACCACCAGCTAGGCTTGTACAAGTGTTTCAGTTGCCTATATACATGCTGACATGTGTGTAGTGTCCATGAAGGCTGGAAGACGGTGACACAGCTGCCATATGGGTGCTGGGAATCGAACTCAGGTCCTCTGGAAGAACAGCAAGTGCTCTTAACCTCAGAGGCACCTTTCCAGACATGCTTGTTCCCCTCCACCCCCACTTTGAGATGGGATCTTGCTTGCTAAATTACCTGGGCTTGCCTTGAATTTGCAGTCCTCCTGCCTCAGTCTTCCTGGTGCTGGGATTAGATCAGACTGGCAGATTACTGTGAGTTCAAGACAAACCTAGGCTATAGACTAAGACCTTATCTCCAAACAAACTTGTGGAAAGAAATTAGAACAATCCCTTCTCTGTGGTCCTGGGGACTCCAAGGGCCAAGACAAATTCCAGTTAGGGGTCCCTGGGATAGATGCCTCACACTCAGGGGACAGCCTGGGCCCACCAGGGTTATGGTTCAGCCTTCTCTCTGTATCCTCACCCCACTGGCTTCCCTGCAGGGGAAGCTGGAGCAGCTGGCAGGAACCTGGCTCACGTCTTCACCATTTACCCCCAAAGTCATGACCAGTCTTAAGGGCCCTGACTTCTGCTCCCAGCAACCCTTTGGTTCTGAAGGGCTGCATGATTCTCAGTCATTTTGTCATCATTATGGTCCAAAGTGTCAAGGAGGAATCTCTATCCTTTCCAGTCACAGTGATTTCAGGCCTCTTTCCAACAGGTGGCTGCACTGCAACGGCAGATCTTCGACTTCCTGGGCTACCAGTGGGCTCCCATCCTGGCCAACTTCCTGCACATCATGGCCGTCATCCTGGGCATCTTTGGCACTGTGCAGTATCGTTCCCGGTACCTCATACTGGTACGTCCCTCTCCTCACCTTTGCCTGTCTCGCCCTTCCTATTCCTCCACTCAGAACTACCTCCCACCCCAGGAGTCCAGAGGCACACAAGTGTCTGGATCCTAAATCTGCTCCATGCAAAGCTGACTCGTATTTTTCAGCAGAGAATCTCCCAAGAGGATAATGCAAACATAAGCAAGATATGGAGGGGCTGGAGAGATGGCTCAGCGGTTAAGAACACTGGTTGTTCTTGCAGAAGCCCCGGGTTTGAATCCCAGCACCCACATGGCAGCTAACAACTGTCTGTAACTCCAGGGGATCCAACAGCCTCTTCTGACCTCTGAGGGCATTGCAGCACATGGGTGCACTTAACTACATGCAGGCAATACATGCATACACATAAAATAAAAATAATAAATAAAAATTATAAGCAAGATGTGGAGAGTCATTTGGAGAGTGATGGCACTCAGTTCTACAAGCTGTGTCTCACCATTACGCTAGCCCTGCCACATCCACTTACCAGCAGAGGAGGCGGAAGCTCAGAGTACTTATGAGTTGTCCTAAGTTCACACAGTTAGGAAAGGCAGAAGCAGGATGAGTGCATCTGGTCTAGAGCTAGGGCTCCTGCACTGTACCACACATTGCCTCTTGTAAGCTGTGTGACAAAGGAGGGGTGGGCAGCATCCTGATGAGTTTCCCAAGGTTCTAAGGAAGCTTCAGGAAGGCTTGACTTCTGCTGCTGACTAATGTTCCCTGAAGATGTGGTCTGGCTGAATGTGGTGATGCGTATCTGTAATTCCATAACTTTAGAGGCTTAGGCAAGATTGTAAGTTTGAGGCTAGCCTGGGCTACATAGTGAGACCCTATCTCAAAAAAAGAAGGAAAAAAGAGAGAGAGAGAAAGGACAACATGGTCTAGAAGTAACTGGTATGATTTGGTTAGTGCTTCCTGTACTCTAGCCCCAAGGGTCTGATGCTGTTCCCAGAGCCCTGCCCCACTCCTTTTTTCTAATCCTGATGATCTCCCAGACTCCTGTTCTCAGTCAGCCTGGCCCATAGTCCCTTTTGGTCCTCGATGCCTATTCAGGTGGCTGTGTCAAGGGAAAAGGCTTTTCACTAGATTTACCACATCCACACTAGACACTTGAGTGACAAGAGCACTCAGCTCATTCCTGGTGTCTCTCACCTCCCAAAGGCTCAGCTTCCAGGAACCAGACGGCAAGGCCCAATGAAAGTTCTTTTCACCTTAGGCAGCACTTGTCTCCAGTTCTTAGGAAGCCCCAGGCCACAGCCAGCACCAGTCTGCCAGGTGAAGGCCACTGGAAGTGTATCCTATTCTCTAGCCTCTCCTTGCCCGCTTATAGCTTGGGGTCATGGGGAAGATGCTGTTCCCCCCAGAAGTGGCCACATCTGGAAGTGAGATGTGGCCCCGGGGTGCTGGTGGAAGGAATGCTGGAGCTGTACCCACTAATCTGAGCCACTCAGGAGCCAGGGACAGACAGATGAGGGAGGGAAGTGATGATGTGAGCTGCCAGGGCCCGGGTGAATCTCTTTACATGACCTTGTTCTGTCACCCCAGCCTTTCAGTGGTTCCCATGCTGCTCTCAAATTCCAGCCATAAGTCAGAGAGGGATGTTGTCCCACTATGATAATCAGGCACTAAGCTGTCTCTGTTCCAAAGTTCCAGCATCCATTGCTAACTACCTTCTTTCTCATTCAGTATATAACCACTTACAAGAATCAAGGCGCCTTCCTAAGAAGGAGAGTGCGTTCTTGTTCTTCGCTTTCTAAACCCCAGCCCTCTCCCTCAGTTACAGGCTGTGGCTACAACACTTCATAAGCCACTGCCTATAAGGTTTTGGGATTTGGGCTTTTTTTTTAATTTAATTTCCATTTCCGTTTTATGTGTATGGGAGTGGGGGGAGTACATGCTCTGACATGAGTGTAAAGGTCAGAGGACAACTTGCTGGAGTTGGTTCTTTTCTCCTACCATACTGGCCATGGGGATCAAACTCAGGTTGTCAGGCTTGGCAGCAAGTACCCTTACCTGCTGCACCATCTGGCCTCCCGGCCTGTAATCTTGACTGAGTCATCCACCATTACCCACCTACTTGGAGCTGGGCACTGGCATTATACTATAAATGAGGCAGACAAGGCTCTTGCTCTCTAGTGTGTGCCATCTGGAAAGTTTCTAAAAGTGTCACCAGAGTCACAGTCTCCTACAGGCTCTTGAACACCAACCCTAGAGATTTAGAATCCTCAATACATCTGAAAGAATGTGTTGCTTCCCTTCCTCCCCTTCTAACAGGGTCTTACTGTGTAGCGCTGGCTGGCCTGTTACTCACTACATACACCAGGCTGGCCTTGAATGCACACTAATGTGTCTGCCTCCCAGGTGCTAGGATTGAAGGCATGCACCACCACAACCAGCCTAATTTGTGTATGTGTATGAGTGTTCTGCTGGCATGTATGTGCCCATGTGTGTGCAGTACCTGCAAAGGCTGAAAGAGGGTGTCAGAACCCTTAGAACTGGAATTACAGAAGGTTGTGGGCCACCATGTGGGTGCTGGAAACCAATCCTTGACCCTCTGCACGAGCACTAAGTGCTCTTAACTGCTGAGCCATCTCTTCAATCTCTCCAGTCCCTCATTTTATTGTTGTTTGTTTGTTTGTTTGAGACAAGGTCTCCCTATAGCCCCAGCTGGCCTGAACTCACTATGTAGACCAGGCTAGTCTCAGAGATCTGCCTGCCTCTGCCTCCCAAGTGCTGGGATTAAAGGTGTGTCCAACCATGCTCAGCTCTCAAATTGTATTTTTTTTAATTTTTTTTTTAATGTGTATGAGTGTACTGCCTACATGTATATAAGTGTACCATGTCATGCAGTGCCCGTGGAGGTCAGAACGTGTTGGATCTCCTGGAACTGGAGTTATAGATGGTTGTTAGCCACCATGTGGGTGCTGAGAATTGAACTTGGGTCCTCTGCAAGAGCAGCCAGTGAGTGCTCTTAACCACCGAGCATCTCTCCAGCCCTCCAGGTTTTTTTGTTTGTTTGTTAGTTTTTTTTGGTCTTTTTGAGACAGGGTCTCCATGTAGCCCCAGCTGGTCTGGAACTTGCTATGTAGACCAGGCTGGCCTTGAACTCATGGAGATACCTGCCTCTGCCTCCCAAGTACTGGAACTAAAGGCGTGAGCCACTACACCCAGCCCAGTTTGTTGTATTTTTTAACAAACTCTCCAGAGTGATTGCAGGACAACTAGAGGTAGAGGGTGCCCTTCTTGAGGATGTGAGTTAAGGGCCAGTCTTCCCTCCTAGCTGTGATCCAGGAAAACTCATCTCTCCTTAGGCTAGTGATGGGAGTAAGACACACACCTTGCAGGGCTGTGAAAGATGGATGTGGACTTGTAAGCTTCAGTGAGCTCTGAATGAGGTGTTATCAGACTTCCCCTGCAAGAGTCCCCCTCCCTTATGCTGTCTCTGTTGACTCGCCCCTCCCCCCCCAGGCCCCACCCTGAATCCACCTCTGCTTTCCACAGTATGCAGCCTGGCTGGTGCTCTGGGTTGGCTGGAATGCCTTTATCATCTGCTTCTACCTGGAGGTTGGACAGCTGTCCCAGGTAAGCCTCAGGCCTGAAGGTGTGCAGAGCACAGCCTGACCTTTTCTATCCCTCGCCCAGGGCTGGGACATCATCTCTTTAACACACCTCTCTTCTGATGCACACTCAATCTGTGCAGCCCGCTTCACCCCCATTCTTCCTTCTGGCTTTCTTCTGTAATTCTCAAAAATAATGATCTCAAAAACAAGTGATGGGACATTTGGTGTGAAGAAGATCTGGGGGTTGGGGGCAGTTGACCATTATCAGCTCAGTAAAAACCATCAATGTGTTGGCCTAGACAGCTACTTTTAGGCTTCAGGATAGAAATTTCAGAGCAAGGAGGTAAAATGTCACATAAAGATTTGGATCCAGTCCTGATCAGTATTTTTCAGAAAGCAAAGAAACCAGTTGGTGTTTGTTCAGGGAAAATTGAACAAGCCATATCACATGGAGAGCTCCTGAAGAAAAGTGAACTGAGTTGTTTAATTGGAAGAAGAGCAACCCCAGAGAGCCACAACTTCTGTTCTTAGAACAAGGGAGATAGCTGGGTGCGGTGCCACACGCCTTTAGTCCCAGCACTCGGGAGGCAGAGGGAGACGGATCTCTGTGAGTTCAAGGCCAGCCTGGTCTACATAGTGAGTTCCAGGACAGCTGGGGCTACAGGGAGAAAAAAACAAAAAAAAAAAAAAAAAAAAAAAAAAAGAACTTGGGCTTTGTGGTTTGACCCTGATCCATTGAAGTTTCTGCTCTAACATTTCCTGGCTGTTTGACTCTGGCCAAATGGCCTGTTCTCTCTGAGCTCTGATTTCTTCCTCTAAACAGGCCTAGAGAAATGGTTCAGTTGGCACAGTACCTGCTGCACGAGCGTGAGGCCCTGGGTTCAGATTCCCCAGCACCCACATAAAAGCCTGTCCTGTGACCCTCATCTATAACCCCATACTAGGGGAAGCAGAGAGATGGGGAACCTGGGGACTTGCAGCCAGCCAGTGGAGTGAACTCTTCTCAAATATAAGGTGGGGCTAGCAAGATGGCCCACTGATTAAAAGCATTTGTCTTTTAAGCCCACTGACCTGAGTGCAATCTCAGGATCCCAATGTGGAAGGAGAAAAGGGAACTCCTGAAAGACCCCCTCCTGCTCTGTGGCATGTTTGTGCCCCCGCTTACACACCCCACACATGCACACGACCTAATAAAAATTTTTTTAAAGGGTGAAGGCAATTGAAGAAGAAACCCAGTGTCATCTTGATCTTCAAATACACACATGTGCATACACACACACACACACACACACACACACACACACACACACACCCCTCTTGTAGTTGCAGAGGAAATAAATCTTGATCATCCATTTATGTGCTTGGCACCTGGTCAGCAGTGTGAGTCTCAATCTCACTAAAGGAGTGTGAGCACTGATAAGCACAGGGTTGTACACCCTGTGTGTGAACGTCTGAACTCGGCCAGCCCCTTCTTTCTCCCTGTAACAAACGGGAGACCACAGACCAAGGAGAGGAGAGGTTTGTCCAGAGTCACACACAAGGAGAGCATAGAAACCTAGTGGATTGTACAGGAGCCTGTATTGAGGATTTGGGAATTGGACCCAGTTACTGTTAGTATCCTTCTAACTCTGAAATCCAGGGACTCCTGTGGGCTCAGCTCCAACCCTTTTCCATCTCAGTGATAGGAGTATGGCGCCTGCATGGTCATCTACTGCCACCTGCTGGCCAACACTTGCAGGTGTGGCCTTCCAAATCAAGCCAGAGAGGCTATTAAGAGTCTAGGTGCAAAGTGGGGTCTGCCCCCCCACTCAGTATCCCAGGCCCCTTTGCCCCCAGGACCGGGACTTCATCATGACCTTCAACACATCCCTGCACCGCTCATGGTGGATGGAGAATGGGCCAGGCTGCCTGGTGACCCCTGTTCTGAACTCCCGTCTGGCCCTGGAAGACCATCATGTCATCTCTGTCACTGGCTGCCTGCTTGATTATCCTTACATTGAAGCCCTCAGCAGTGCCCTGCAGATCTTTCTAGCTGTGAGTCTAATCTGTTTCCCACCCCCGTCCCCCCATATTCCCATTATCCCTCATTAAGAAGGGAACAGGCAAGGTGTATGGTGAGCATATATCCGCAATTCGGCACTCAGGAGGCAGAGGCAGGGGACCAGGAACACAAGTTAGAGGCCAGCCTAGGCTATATAGTGAGTTCTAGACCCTGACCTGCAGAGAGCGAGCGAGCAAGCGAGCGAGAGAGAGAGAGAGAGAGAGAGAGAGAGAGAGAGAGGTGCCTTCCAGCCTGCCTGTGCTTCTACCTGGATCTGTGTCTTATGACTCCTCCCATCACCCCTACCCCAGTCCCCACCCCAACCACCCCAAGGGTGTGGACAGATTTCATGAATAGGATGAGATACCAGTTTGAGAACATCTGGGTTTAAATATCTAATACACCCCTTGTGACCTTGGAAAAGTCATTTGTTCTTTCTGAGATTCCTTATTCACACAGAAAGGACAATACCAACCTCATAGAGTTGTGAGAATTAGAAAAGGGCTCCAAACAGAAGCCCCAGTCAGGGATGGTGGCATACACCTGTAATCCCAGTGCTTAGATGGTGAAGGCAGGAGGATTAGGAGCTCAAGGTTACCCTTAGCTACATAGCCTCGGCTACATGAGACTGTCAACCAATCAATCAATCAATTAATCAATCAATCAATCAAAAAGTCCCATTTATGAGAGGGCCAGTCCCACCCTAGGCACTTTACACAGGAATGGCCACATAATTCTTTCAATTTAATAAGCCAGTGAAGCCCTGCTGAGGCCTAACTGGAAAGACCAGACTCAGAGGTTAACTGCTTGCCTAAAGTGACACTCCCACAATGAAGAACGATAGGACTTTTAAGTGCAGGCACTTAACTTGAACTTGTTAAGTGTTTGCTTCGATCCAGGGGCTGAGTGGGATAGGCAGGAAGGAGAGGATAAGCTTCCCTTCCTTTCCTGACTGTCATCTCTTTCCCCAGCTGTTTGGCTTCGTGTTCGCCTGTTATGTGAGCAAAGTGTTCCTGGAGGAGGAGGACAGCTGTGAGTACGACTCCCCTAGGGAATTGGGAGAGCCCCCACTGGCACGCCTGTGTTTTCAGCATCCTGAACAGGGCTCCTTGGTGCACACAAGCCCTGGGTCAGTTACACCAGGCTTCTAAGCAAAGAAGCAGATAGGGATGGGTGGGGTCTGCAAAACCAGCCCATTTTGGGTTAGGGCCCAGACGTCCAGGTGCTTAGTCCTCCGTCCTGGCACCGCCTTTTTCCACATCGGTAGTCTTACCTCATTCCTAAGAGCCTAACGCCCTCTCATCACCCTCTCACCACCCTCCCACCCCCATCCCATGCCCACCCCTTTGTGGCCTGGCTCCTCGAGGTCCCAGGCCTCCAGAATTTACTCTGGATCCTCTCCCTAAGCCCCACCATCCCCAGCCCCACCCACCCCCTTCCCAGGCTAAGCTCCCTGGAGATGGGGTACTGCCCTGGGTCCTTCCCTTTCCGGACTCAGCTTCCCTTAACTCTCCCCCTTCCCTCCGCAGTTGATTTCATCGGTGGCTTTGACTCCTATGGATACCAGGCGCCGCAGAAGACATCACATTTACAGCTGCAGCCTCTGTACACGTGGGTCCCTGTATTGGCGGGAGCAACTGGCTGCCCGGGTCATTAGTGTAGAGGGAAGGGCCTGGAGAAGTAGGGGAGGAGTGAGCGTCCGGATCTCCGCGCGCGGCAGACGCACCCTTCCCCCCAACCCGCCTTTGTTCCCGCAGGTCGGGGTAGCTTCTGCCCCCGCACCCACCCCACGCTGCGCTGGCGGCTGGAGGAAGAAGCGCCAGATGGGCAGGCGCGCCCCCTGGCGGCTCACAGACTGACTGCAGCCTGCGCGGCCCTACCTGGATCTGCCGCTGCGGGAACAGATGAGGACTCAGACTTGACCCTGGCCCTGGCCTTTGGCAGCCGGACTTCAGGGTTGGGTCAGGGCGGGACAGGGGAAGGGGTATCTCGGGGTTTGTATTTTTTTTATCTCAGCCTTGGTGTGCGCTGGGGTCTTCCTCCCTTCTCCAGCCTCTCCTTTTCACCTTTTTACTTAGCCTCTTGCCCTTGGTCCAGACAAAAACAGGACAGATGGACTCACCCCATCTCACTCCTCATTCACCAGCCCTGGGGAAAGACACTGTGAACTAGGAGCAGGAGTCCTGGGCTCCAGTTGCACCTCCATCCCTGACATCCAGTGTGACATCTGGCCAAGTGCTCTCTCTGGGTCTCAGTTTCCCCACCTCAAGTAATTAAGAATAATCCCATAGCAGATGAACTCTTTTAGAGCTCTCTTTTGACTCTCAGTTCCCTGGGCTAGGCTGCAGATATGAAAACAAGGCCTAGAAATGTGAAGTGATTTGCTTGAGGTCACAAAGCTCTGATGGAGGCAGACTTTGAACCCAGTATACTGTAGCTTGAGACTCCCTAGTCCAGCATCTGGTCTTTGGACTTCCAAGCTCAAACACTCCTGCACATTCATACGCCACTGCCACCACTTGCCACTCTTAAAGCAATATACCTATCCATTCTCTTATTGAGACCCGGATGGACAGAGCCCAAAGCCTGACCCACAGGAAGCTTTTGTAGACTCAGTCCTTGTCAACCCTTGGCAAACCTTTGGATCTCCCTCCTCTAGGGAAGCAGAACTATCACTCACACCTCAGCCCCTGCCAGGTCCCAAAGCTTGGGTCTTCTATCCCATGATCCCATGATGCCACACCTGACTCCTCTAGCAATCCCGCCAACCCTTGATGGCTCCTCCCACCTTACCATTGTGTTCTCAGAGAGGAAGCTAGTGTCCACAGGAGCAAGTCCAGGAGTGCCGAAGGGGCAGAATAAGGTAGGGTTAGGAAGGGTAGCACCCCACCTTTCCTAGGGACAAGGAGAGTTCTTCCTCACCTCCTTCCACAGATGCCCTAAGGACCCTATGTCCTGAGCACTGGCTGGTGAATCACAGACAGAAAACTCAGACATCAATGCCCAACCTGTGATGCTCAGGCAGCTCTAGATTAGGAAAGCAACTGAGAAAGATGTACAGGGACTGTAGTGGGGAGCCTGGACAGTGAAGATGGTTTCTGTGATGACCACATCCTTTCCTACTTCACCATCCCATCTGTCATGGTTTATAGAGCATCCATCTCCAGGGGTTCCTCCAGCCATCACAGATCCCTGAGTGGAGAGTCTAATCAGAGGGAATAAGCTCCCTTTAGCCTGGGCTGCCACCTTACCACTTCCACGGACAGCACTCACCTCCCATCCCTTCCCCCAGGCTGCCTCCTTCTACTCAACAGTTTAGCCATTGGTGCTTTGAAACCATTTGGTTTTATAAGCTGGGTTTTTCAAGGGGACCTGTTCCTTTCTCACTGGGACTATGTGAGCTGAGACTGCCTTGGTGTCTGTGCAGGTGGGTTGATTAAAGAAGGTGTTTTCTTCTGTCTGTCTGTCCTGCCCTCTTGGCTAGAAAGACCACCAGTGGGACAGGTCCTTCCATGAAAGTGGGCAAACCCGGGGTGCCATTCACCTTTAACATACATATAACACATTTCTATTTTTTTTTTTTTTTGGCCTTTTTGAGACAGGGTTTCCCAATAGCGCCAGCTGGACTGGAACTTGTTATGTAGCCTAGGCTGACCTTGAACTCACAGAGATCCACCTGCCTCTGCCTCCCAAGTGTTTTTTATTCGTTCATTTATTTATTAATGTTTTATTTTTATGTGTATGCGTGTATTACCTGCATATATGTAAGTGCACCTGTGTCATGCAGTGCCCTTGGAGGTCAGAACACGGTGTCGGGTCCCCTGGAATTGGAGTTGCAGATGGTTGTTAGCCACCATGTGGGTGCTGAGAAACCCCAGTCCTCTGCAGAAGCAGTCAGTGCTCTTATCCACTGAGCCATCTCTACAGCCGCTGCTTTTTATTTTTTAATTTAAAAACTTTTGTATTTTGCTGGGTGTGGTGGTGCACGCCTTTAATCCCAGCACTGGGGAGGCAGAGGCAGTTGGATCTCTGTGAGTTCTAGGCCAGCCTTGTCTACATAGTGAGTTCCAGGCCAGCTGGGGCTACAGGGAGACTCTGTCTCAAAAAGACCCCCAAAAAAAAAAAGATTTTTAAAAATTACATTTGTTTATTTATATTTATCTGTGGGCACACGCCATGGCATGCATGCAGAGGTCAGAGAACCACTTACTGGAATCAGTTCTCTTCCTACTATGTGAGTTCCAGTGATCAAATTCAGGTCTTCAAGCTTGGCAACAAGTGCCTTTACCTGCCTAGTTATCTCACTGGCCCTCTCCTTACATTTTATGTGGGTTCCCAGAATTGAACTCAGGTTGCCAGTCTTGCTTGGCAAGCACCTTTACCAGCTGAGAGCCATCTCATCGCCTCTTTTTTGTTTTGTTTTGTTTTGAAATGGTCACACTAGATGTCCTTGAATTCAGCATCCTCCTGCTTCAGCCTCTCTAGTGTTGGGATTATGGGTGTGTATCCTGGCCTGGCCTTTATTATATATTTCTGAGTCTCTGGCTTGTGTCTTAAGCTGTGTGGCTTTGGGCAAGTCAGTTTCCCTGTCTTTCCTCGAACAGCACAGAGGTCTGACTGAATAGGTGGGTTCCCAACCTGGCTTCCCAGGCCTTGAAGAGCTTTCTATGTAGTTATCTGATTAAGTGCACATTCTGTTGATGTCTGAGTCCCCTTTGCATCTTGGCTGTTTCCTTCCTAACAACTGAGTTCCTGGCTTCGAATGAGCTGGCAGACAGCACTTTCCACACAGATTCTTGCCTTCTACCCTTGACATTCTGGATCATTTAAGTGACATAGTCCAAGAATCAGTATTTCCATTTGACTGTGAATCTTGGAACTTTTCCCCTAATAATACACACGGAGCTGCCACCCCCCTTTTTAAAAAATACTTTATTGAAGCCAGGCATGGTGGTGGACGCCTTTGATCCCAGCACTCAGGAGGCACAGGCAGGAGGATCTCTGTGAGTTCAAGTCCAGCCTGGTCTACATAGTGAGTTCCAGGACAGCTGGGGCTACAGGGAGACCCTGTCTCAAAAAGACCATCAATTTAAATTAAAGTGTTTCTTCAAAATGAAAATAATAGATAGATAAAAGAAGTCAGAGTATTTTAGTAGGAGGATGTATACGGAACTATTATTCTTTAATATTTTATTTGTTATTTCTATTTTATGTGTATGAGTGTATTGCCTTCGTGTGTACCCGTGTGCCTATGTTGTGCAATACCTGCAGAGATCAGAAGAGGCCGTCAGATCCTCTGGAACTGGAGTTACATTACAGACAGTTGTTAGGCAACATGTAGGTGCTGGGAACTGAACCCAGGTCTCGAAAGAACAGTCAGCACTCTTAACCACTGAGTCCTCTCTCCAGCCCCTAAATCCAGATTCTTTTTCAATGATGCCCCAGGTCTGTTGTGCCAGTGCTCTGGACCATGCCTGGCCATGGGGTCCAGAGGAGAAGCAAAACACAGCCTTCTAGGAGCTTGCAGTCCAGTGAAGGCTGCAAGGAAGGTCAGTGGTCAGTGCTGAGCACATTGGGTCATCTGAGGAGATGTTAGTCGAAGCTCAAGAGGGAGATCTGAGTGCCCAGAGTAGGCACAAAAGTATGGTAGGAAGGGGAACAGGTATCATACGTCTAGGGTGAGACTAGCAGGTTGGGTTGAAGGAAGTGCCACTGGGATAAACCAGCTTCCTGTTAAGGTAACAAATTACCACAACTTTAGTACAACTTTCATGTCCTTTTTGTTGTTGTTTTTTTGTTTGTTTGTTTTGGCTTTTTGAGACAGGTTCTCTCTGTAGCCCCAGCTGGGGCCTGGAACTTGCTATGTAGACCAGGCTGGCTTCGATCTCAGAGTTTCCCCTGCTTCTGCTTCCCAAGTGCTGGGATTAAAGGCATGTGCCACAACACCTGGCTTCATGTCCTTTTTTTATGTTATAAATGGAATCTAGTATCTCAACACTGTACAAATCTACTATTGTATATAGTTCTGTATTAGTCCAGGGTGGGTCTCACTGGGCTGAAGTGGAGACATCTGCCAGCCTCCTTTTCTGGAAGAATCCATGTTTGTGACTTTGGCCCTTTCCTTCACTTTCCAAGCAGCAGAAATCCAGCTCATCAAACATTGTCTCATTGCATCATCAAGATTCTCTGCTTCTGCTCAGGCAGGTGTTGGGGTGCATGCATTATAATCCCAGCACTTAGGGGGCTGAGATAGAAGGACCAAGAGTTCAAGGCCAGACAGAGACATGGCTCAGCAGCTTACAGACCTGACAACCGAAGTTCAATCCCTGGAACCCGCTTAAAGGTGAAAGAGAACCAACTCCCAAAAGTTGTTCTCTGACGTCACACAGGCACTGTGGTTCACATGCACACATACACAACAGGCACACACACACACACACACACACACACTAAAATAAAACTTTAAAAAGTTCAAAGCCAGCCTGGGCTATATGAGACCCTGTCTCCCCCACCTCCCAAAAGATCCTCAAGCTCTTACATACCATGTTAGACCACTAGGATACCCTCCCATCTCAAGGCCCTGACACTAATCACATCTGCAAAGCCAGTTTTGTCCTGTAACTCATTCTTGGGTTCCAGGGATTGAGATGGGGAGGGGTGTAATAGTGGCTGAGATATTTTATCCCAGTACTTGGAAAGAAGAGGCAGGTAGATCTCTGAGTTTGTGGCCAAACTGGTTCTACAGAGTGAGTTCTAGACCAACCAGGGCTACAGTGACATCCTGTAAAAAGAGAAAGAGAATAGACCCTTACCTCTAACTTGTGTCCATTCACTCTTCCCTGTGATCTCCTGGATTTGAAAGTTCAAAACCTAGAGCATGATCTGGGCATGGTGGTTGTTAACTAAAATTCTGGAGACAAACGCCATCCGGCCCCCTCCTCCCACCGTCCTTATGATAAACCTAGGTACAATTTCTCCAAACTAAAGAGTTTATTGGGGTTACTTACTGAGATGTGGACAAGGGGTTACTTACAGGAGTGTGGCGGCTCCCCCCAACCCTGTGGCCGCAATGGAAAGTCTCCATATCGGGACTTTCCAGCAGCCATCCAAAACGGTAAGAAACCTCATGGCGTTTTTCTATCCCTGGTGCAACTCTGGGAGGTGTGGCTGACTCTCCCAGCCACTCCTTTCTTGCAGAGCGTCAACAGTCAGGTTTGTTCATGATGACCCTAAGCAAGCAGGTGCAACCAAGCATGGCCATAGCTCGCCCTTCAGAGGACAGTTCTATATGAGTGGTGCATATCTGTAATCCTAGCAGTAGGATCAAGAGAATCAAGTCCACGGCCATCCTCAGCTACACAGTTAGTCTGAAGTCAACGTCGGCCCCGTGAAACGCTATCTCAAGAAGGAAGGGAGGAAGAAAATGAAAGAAAAAAGAAAACCCTCAGCATGCTCTGCATGGTGAAGATGGTTCACGGTGGAGATGTGGGGACGTGACATGTAGGGAAGAAGCTGCTGGAGGAATTCTTATAATCCGGTGTATTAGTTACTCTTCTGTTGCTGTGATAGAAACACCATGACCAAGGGAACTTATAAAAGAAGAGTTTATTTAGCTTACAGTTGCAAAGAGGCAAGAGTCCATCGTGGTGGGGAGACATGGTTGCAGAGGTGGCTGGAACAGGAGCAGAAGGTAAGCTATCACATCTTCAAGCAGGCACAGGAAGCAGAGCATGACTGGAGATCCGGCAAGGCTTGAAAACTGTAAGCCCGCCCCCAGTGACATGCTTCCTCCAGCATGGCCACACCTTCTAAGACCTCCCAAAACAGTGCACCAACTGGGGAGAAAATGCTCAAATACTTGGAGTCTGTGGAGGACATTTTCATTCAAATCCATCAGCAAGGATGGAGAGGCCCTAGGGTCTTCCATGCTCATCCTGGTCTTGGTCCAGCACCAAGAGTTGAAGCAGGAGGTGAAAAGCACAGATGGATGCATGTATCTCCAGCCAGTGGTACATGCTGAACACCATGCCATACCATTGGCCTAAAGAGCTGTGGTTCACATGCAGCATTATCCTTACACTATGGAGGGGTAGGCGCGCAGTGGTCACAGAGGTGCCTCTCCCATACAGAGGCTCAGGAGGGGCTTCCCGGGTGCTCTGTGGGAAGAACATAGATTTCTCTTGAGCAGGGTTTATGACACTTACACTGCCATTTTGGGCTGGGTGACTGCTTGTTGTGAGCCAATGATCTGTGCACCTTAGCAGCATCCCTGGGCTCCACCCATAAGATGTCCTTCCCCAGTTGTGACAACCAAAAATATCTGTGGACATAGCCAAGTGACCCTGGAAGGGAACATCACCCCTGATTTACACTCAGTCAAGTGAGTCAAATCAACACGGGAAAGGAGACTGGATAAACTGCTTAATGTGATTTCCTCATCTGTAAAATGGCATGCT